CGAAAATGGAGATGTCCGAGGTTCAGATGACTCTGGTGAAGTTGATGTAGCAAGCGTAGTACTGTTGCCATCGTCGTTGTGCTGCTCACTCTCGTTGAGCTTATCGTCGGGAAGTAAATAAACAGGCTTTAGCCGGTCGATCGAAACTGTAGTGTTTTCGCCTTTGACGTTTACTCTGAAGTATTTGTTATGCTTTGAAATGACTCGGTGAGGTCGTTCATAAGGTGAAGTGAATGCTTGGTGTGGAGCGTCGCGACGAATAAAAACGTGTGAACACGTAGATAGTTATTTGGAGATGAATGGTTTCCTCTGACCATGTTGGACAATGGGTTCTGGTGCCATGTCTGCATAGTAATTTCTCAAGCGTAATGCAAAATTCGATGGTGGCAAACCAGATCTTGTCGAAGGCGCTAGGAATTCTCCTGGTAAATGAATTGACTCTCCATAAACGAGATCGGTGGGAGTTGCGCCAAGATCTTCCTTCCTAGCGACACGAATTCCAAGGAGAACGATGGGTAGCATGTCAACCCATGGGCTGTTTTCGTGGCACCAAATGGCATCCTTCAAGTGACGGTGAAGATGTTCCACCATTCCATTCTACTGCGGATGTGGAAGTGGTAGTATTTATATGTTTGCTGCCGAGGAGACGATCGAAAGCGCTAAAAAGTTGGCTCTTAAACTCTGTCCCTTGGTCCGTTATGATTTGTAATGGTACACCGTATGGATGTGCGTGTGTGTGTGCGGGCAACACATTTGGCGTCGATACTATCAATGGGAAATGCCTCTGGAAACCTKGTGAAACGATCGATAATTGTCAAGCAGTAGCGATACCCCTTTGAAGGTACGTATGGACCAATGATGTCTACATGGATATGTTCGATACGTCTTATGCGGCTTGGAAAGTTTTGGATTGGTGTTAAAACATGGCGAGATGCCTTATTTTGTTGGCAAGCTAGGCATGTTCGGGCCTACAAACGGCAGTCGCGGTTAATGCTTGGCCAAACAAATCATTGCGTTAACAATTTGGCGGAAGCTCACGCTCCGGGATGACTAATGCTGTGGAGAGTGTCGAATATTTTCTTCCTCAGCACGGTGGGAACATATGGACGGATAATATCGGTCGAAACGTCGCAATAAATTGGCTTATTGCAGCCTGGAATGTTGACTGGTCGCAAGTTTAGTGTATCGTGTTGTTCCCTTTATATTCTTTGCTGAAGTTCTTCGTACTCAGCTTGTGCTTGATCAAGTTCGTTTGAAGATACTGCAATTGAAATTTCTTTGACGCGAGAAAGAGCATCTGCAACGATGTTGGCTTTTCCGGCTATATGTTGGATATCGGTTGTAAACTGGCTGATGAAATTGCCAGGTTGTCGCTCGATCGGGATCCTGAGAAAAAGCGTGTAGCATAGGTTTGTGATCCGTGAATATTGTGATGTGTCGTGCTTCTAAAATATAACGAAATTTTCGTAAAGCTGCGTAGATAGCGTGAAGCTCACGGTCGTGCGGACAGTGTTTTCTAAGAGCAGGTTGAAGCTTTTGGCTGAAGAAGGCCAATGGTTCCCAGTGTTGTCCTCGCCGTTGTTGGAGGACGGCGCCGATAGCATATTCTGAGGCATCAGTAAATATTGCCCAAGGTATCCGGGTATGCTAATATTGTTGCTTTACGTAGCTCTTCTTTGCATTCAACGAACGCTGCATAACCTTCTGGTGTCCAGGGAACCGGGTGAGAACCTTTTATTGAAGTCCCTTGAATGTACTCGTGCAGAGGTGCCTGTAACTTAGCAGCGTTTTTAAGAAATTTACAGTAGAAATTTATCATCCCGAGAAAATCACGCAGTTTTCGGATCGTTTTTGGTCGTGGGTAGTTAACTATCGCGTCTACTTTACCAGGAAGAGGTAAGATTCCTTGGCTGAAATGCGGTGTTCCAAAAAGTCCACTTCGGACTGACCGAAACGGCATTTAGCGGTGCTAATTACGACATCATACTTAGTAAGTCGTTCGAAAAGTAAGCGAAGATGACTGCGGTGTTGCGTAACATCTTTGGAAGCGATTAGGATGCCGTCTATGTATGGGAATAAGAAGTCGTCTAGTCCACGTGTTACCTCGTCGATAAATCGTTGAAATGTTTGTGCGACATTCCGAAGTCCGAACGTCATGAACGGAAATTCGAAAAGACCAAACGGTGTTATAATTGCAGTTTTGTCGATATCTTCTTTGGATACAGATATTTGATTAAAAGCGCGCACTAAGTTTGTCGGGAACAAGTCTTCGAGCTTTACATGAAACTGGAGGGCCTGGTGTAGTAGAAATGTGATGCTGCGTCGTATGTTTTGTTGGCTGACAGATTCCTTCTGGCTTTGTCAGGTTAGGGAACTCCTTTAGTGCATCTGCCCATATAGGATCGACGGGCAGTACTTTAGAGTTATGCAACCGTAGGTATTAATCGTAGATCCATATGCTGCTGTGAGATTATAGTTGATTCGTTCGGACGGCCACGGTGCGAGAGATTTAGGAAAAGTGCAGAGATCAGCGCCAGTATCCACCAGGAATTGGATTTTGGTGGCGCGATCTGTTATGAAAAGGCGGTTTGATTCGCGTGAGGAGCCGTTAACCGCCACTAACGGTCCGAHGGTAGGTTTCCCTGAAATGAGCACGGCGATCGGCAACGTTTAGCTTTATTGCCGAAATTTYGGTGATACCAACACGTGTCGTTGTTCAATGCTGGTGAAGATGTGYGCGAACGAAAGCGCTGACGAGAACGGGAACGAGATATGCTCTGCCGCTTAAAACTGTAAACTAGCTCATTAATCGAAGCTTCGAGACGGGAAATGCTGATGTTTTTGTTGATTCTTGGAGCGAATTAATTTCTGCTGGTTATTATATTTATTTAGGATCAGTGTTTCTTCTCATATCTTAATTTTACATATCTTCTGGTTTTCTTAAATAAATATATTTTCTTATCTACCAGACTATCTTCACACCATCTGTGTTTGCTGTTAGCATGGGATGTAACTCGGGCGTCTTCAAGCCTAACGGTTACCTATGTATTCTACCTATGTATTCCTGGTTCGTTTTGTGTTGTATTCGTTTCAGCGTTTCTTGTAAGCCAGGCGCAGCTGACTTGCTGACATGGCGTTGCCATGTTGTATTAAACGTTGAAATATAATATAATATATTGTGGCTCGTCCCACATTTTTATACTAAAATTTATATCGTTTAACACTTTAATCGAGTTATTGGGGAATATAATTTGGTTTTCGACTTGTTCAAGCGGAGTCTGCTGCTTTTTGCATTTAAACATTGTGGTAGTTCATTTTCTTGTGTATTAAGATTAGTCTGCTGTTTTTTGTGAGGTGTGCATGCCACTTTGAAACATTGTGGTAGTTCCCTGTTTTGTGTATTTGGTTCGGTAAGATCTGCATTTACCTCCGACACATGCTGCTTGTAGCTGCACCGAATGACAAGGTACCACTCATTCCATTTATTAATTCCTCTATTGACAATAACTCACTTATTTGATGCTCTAACTGTGATAAGGGTATGAAAAGTAAGGGACCACCTCCAGTTACCGAAATATTATTTTTGTTTCGTCGCATTTTTGCCTTTAAGTGAATATTATAGTCTGCCCAAACCTTTAATTGATTACATTTAATCACATTTATAATTTATCTGTGCAATTATTGGAATTACCTTTTTCCACACCGCAGTGTCGCGCAATGGTGGCCCAGCTGAGTTTAAATGGGAAACTAAATTTTTCCATAAATTATTGGAGGTACTTGTGGCGTCTGTTGTTTTTAGTGATCCTTTCAAGAAATCGGGATGCGCCTTCATGAACTCCACGAGAATTTCAAATTGCTTTGGTTGAGTTTGTTGTTTTATTTTCCGTTCTTCCCTGTAAATTTGTGCAAAATAGTTCATATACACGGCGTTATATATTTTAGTAACAATTAAACCAATTAAATGCGACTTCTTTATACTTGTAGCACAAAGATTACGAATATAACGCATGTTTGACAATTGCTTTAGCAAAGTAGAGTACAGCCAATGCAAAAGGGAAAAACTAAATTCGAAAATTTACTGCGATTGTCGAATTACAGTGTACCAAAATTGAAGATGCGAACATTTTCATATTCGTATCGCATTACAGAGTAACCCCCCAGTATTCTTATTTTCCCTAAAGCCCGTTGATACATGTGATACAAATTCAAGCAAAGTAGTTATTGTAGACAGCGTTTGAAAAACTATGCTACTCCCGTAGCATTTCATTTAGCTCTTACTACCGCTCTCACTTTGTCGGGAGCCACAGCATAGCCTTAGCATAATAATGTTAAAGTATGTACACTACTCTGCTCCGAGACATCTCATCACACAACACTTCACAGCATAAACCACTACACACACACACGCACCAAACACAGTACTTAACACCGCTCATTACTACAACACAACAACCACACGACCATCAACCAGACGACTGGGAATAATCTAATATTCACCACTCACAGTATCAAAAGGGATTGATCCGTCCGGGATCGCTTCCCTTTTTTTCGTTTCATCCACAAAGTAAGACAGTCGTCCGCGATATTTAGTTTTTTCATTTGTGATCCGTTAATTTTTTTCTACCGCAATTTCCTTTTTTTATAACCGCTAAGTGACGGGAATGACGTGGAGCACCGTGTTCACTAAAAGTGTCCAACATTGGACTTTCTTTAAATACACAGTGTTACATACAATAAAATAAGATTATATAGTGAAATAAATATTTTATAGCGAGTGTGGAAATCAGTGCGTTTTATTTTCCATCTCATAGGTATACTCTAGCAAGTAAGAATACTACTGGCAAACTATAACAAATGGTCCCTCGAGATTTTAAGAAAGGCACCTAAGCAAAAAATGAAATAAAAATTTAAATAACTTCCTGGTGCAAGTGCGAAATATTTTAAAGTGTTTGAAGCACAAAATTTATAAAATAAAAGAAAACTTTTAAGTGGACATATGAACGGAGTGGTGTCGACCACCCACGATGGTCTGGCTGGAGGCTGGCTGGCTGTCCTGGTTGGCATGTGTGCCGTGGGCTGAAAGCGGGTGTGGAGATCTTTATTTTACAACAACTTCTTAACCTATGGTACAACGTGTCTTATATCTTATGATTATGATTAACAATAATTTTTAACAACTTCTTAACCTATGGTACAACGTGTTTTATATTTCAAAGTATTGTGTGACACAGTTAGCATCAATCGTACAAATGTACCACGCAACTCTCTGTGCCGTATCGCACCAATACGCGGTCGCCCTCCAACTTCTTCAGGGCTAAACGCCGGCCCCGGAAGAATAGCGTCATCCTTGAGCGCCTGATGAAATGCTGTCGGGTCATGGTCAGCCCCTCCAAGAACCCTGGAATTTCACCCGCTGGTGTTACCTCTCGCTGCGATGTGCTGGGCGGGGCTGTTCGTGCGCTGGTCTCGAGAATTGGTTGTTGTGTCGTCGTTGCGTCGTGGCAGTTGTTTTAGCAGGCGCCCCATCGTCATTTATGCCTGTGTTTGCCTCCGTAGTCGCTGCTGTTGCTGGTGCCTCTTGTGCCTCAAGTACGGGTTGCCTACTGGTACTAGCTTTGGCCGTGACAGCACTCGCTGCATTTGGTTGGACTACGAGTAACGTCGAAGTTTGGGCGGCTCGCAGCCCTGTCGTAGCACATGCTTCGTTATTTGTTTCGCATGCCGCTGGGACTCTTCCCGTAGTTGGCATTTCCAGCGCGTTCGTGCTGAGTGGCGTTTGTCGGGGCAATGCTTCCAACTTTGTAGCTGTTATGACCAGCCGCGGTTGCGGGTTGCCGGCGCTGGGCTCCTGTGCCTGCTTGGATGACCTCGGGCGAGTTCGAACAGCTGGCCCGGTGGCATCTACGCTAATTGTGTGTAATTGATGCACCCCGGTTGCAGTCGTGCGTTCACGAGGTCGTGCTTCCGGTGGTGGTTGGAAAGGTCGTGGCTTGGTGGGCTCATCTGGTGGCTGTGGTTGGCGCTTGGTACGGCTGCCCGGTGCGCGTGGTATTCTGCTAATTGCGCGTTTCATTTTGAAGGAATCTGGAAAGAGATGAGCAAACGGATTAGTGTTGGCCACGTCTATTGTTGCGTTACAATAGTAATAAGTGGCTCGGAGCTGGAGTCCGTAAGCTCGCCAGCAGCTGCATGAGCTTAGTATTCGGTTGGCAACTGCTTTAGCTTCTGTGCGAAGCTGTTTACTGCGGAAGAGAGCTGTTGATCTCTTTTGAGTACCTTCTCGCCGATAAGTGGTTTCCATGATCGTCTGCGCAGATCGTAGTATTTCTTTTGGCGTTTGGCTGCAGTAGACAAGTTGCGAGAAATTTCTTGCCAAAGCTCGGTGAGTGTCAGCACGTTGGTGGCTCCTTCGTCAGGCACATCTCTTCTTTATGGATTTGTTTCGGTGTAGCCGGTATGTACCCGAAGTTTATCTCAGCTGCTGATGTTTTTGTCGAGTCGTGTTGTGATGTATTTATTGCGAAAGCTATTTCGGCTAGTTGGTGGTCCCAGGTTCGGTGATCGGCCTTTGCTCGTTGTGCAATCAAGGCTTTCACGATTCTATTTGTGCGCTCGGTTGGGTTTTCGTGTGGAGCGTAAACGGCAGTGAAACAATGTTTGATCCCGTGGCTCTCAGGAAATGTGTAAGCGGCTTGCCGGTGAATTGCTTCCCGTTGTCGGTAAAAAATACGTCAGGGCAACCAAACCGGTATATCACGCGCTCTCGTAGCTCCTTTATAACACTGGCGGTGGTTGTATTCCGTACTGGCATGAGCTCCACCTACTTGGAGAACTTATCCGTGAGCACTAGCAAGCATGTGTTGCCATTGGTTGAACGTGGCACTGGACCTACAAAGTCCGCCGTTACAACTTCCCACGGTCGTGAGCATTGCATGGTGGCCATCATCCCAGCAGGTCGGCGCTGGTTTACCTTATATTCGGCACATTGTTGGCATCGACGCACATATCTGAGTGCATCCCTATGCATCCCAGGCCAATAATAACTTTCCTGTGTGCGTTTGAGTGTTTTGTGTACACCCATGTGACCGCCGGTGCTAGCGTCGTGATTTTCTCTYAGGACTTCRAGTCGACGGGGCTCTGGTACGCATAGTTTCCAGCATGGTGACCTGGACAGCTTATTGCGTGRGGCGACGTGCCGAAAGAGCCGGCCATCGATAAGTTGGTAATCGGTTGATCATGGACGGCATGCAGAAGTTACGCATCGCCTTCTTGGACTTTCCGTGGGCATCTGGATAGCGCATCGGCGACTACGTTGAGGGTATCTTTGCGTCTTCCGGACGGGCTCTGCAGGGTGTGAAGCCATTTAAGTGAATGATGGTCGGTGATTACGGTGAAATGATAGCCTTCCAGGTACGGTCGCATTTTCCTTATGCCCCACATTACGGCTAGGCATTCCTGTTCGGTGGCAGAGTCCCGCTTCTCCAATTCTGTCAAGCTGCGACTGGCGTATGCTACGACCCGTTCTTGGTCAGAATGACGCTGAAATAGCACTAYGCCTAGTCCTTCTCCGCTGGCGTCAGTCTGCAGACAGAAGGGCCTCTCGAAGTCGGGGCAACCTAGGATGGGTGCACTAGTTAGTCTTTCTTTTAACACCTGGAATGCTTCTGTCCCCATGTCCAACGCTTGTCCTTTTTAATAAGCGATTTAGGGGTGCTGATATTTTGGCAAAGTCTGCAACGAAACGTCGGTAGCAGGAGGCTGCTCCTAGGAAGCGGCGTAACTCTCTGATGGTGGTAGGTGCTGTCATGTCGCTGATGGCTGCGACTTTAGCCGGGTCTGTGTGAATACCCTCGGTGCTGACTACATGGCCCAAGTAATGGAGGCGTTGCTGCACGAACTTACACCTTTCAAAGTTGATCTGCATATGGTTTTGTTGAAGGCGCGTGAACACCGTTTGCAAGTTTTCTAAGTGCTCCTCAAAAGTGTTTCCCAGTACAATGATGTCGTCCAGATAGGCAAAGACCTTCGGCTGTAGTTCTGGTCCCAGAACGGTGTCTAGAGCTCGCTGAAATGTTGCCGGCGCCGAATGCAGCCCAAAAGGCATTACTCGAATAGACCTCTCCCCGGTATGGTAAATGCGGTATACTGGCATGAGCGGAATTTGCCAGTAGCCATTTTTCAAGTCGATGGTCGAAATGAACCGAGCTTCCTTGAGTTGGTCTAGGATTGCGTTTATTTGGGGAAGTGGGTATGCGTCTGGTATGCTTGCTGTATTAAGTTGCCGGTAATCTATTCCTTGTTTCTTTCGCACTAGGACAATGGGCGAGCTATAGGCGCTGTTAGAGGCTTCGATGYGGCCTGYAGTAATCAATTCGTTCACCTCTTGATTGATTACTTCTTGCATCGCTGGGTTGCGTGGATAATATCTCTGCTTTAGTGGACGGTCGTGTTTGAGGCGGATTATGTGTTCGGTGGCTGTACTGGGGCCGGTGATCGTCGAGAACGCTGCTGCGTTTTCCGTGAGAAGAGCGTTCAATAGATGATTCTCCTTTTCTGCAAGATGCTGCCTTTAGGTTGGCATAGCAAAGTGGTCGGTGGGTGCCTGTGTGCTTAGGCGTGTAGCCGTTAGGGGTTGTCCATCAATGGTGATAGTCAGGCCTCGCTCTCTTAAGAAATCCATGCCTAAGATGACATGTTCCGAAAGCGTCGGTAGAGCTGATACAAGTAGGTGCGTGGACTTGTTACCCAGCTCTATAGTAACAGGATACATATCCGTGCTAGGTATGTATGTCTGGTTAGCTAGTTGAATTCGACGGGTCTGGTGTCTGGCTTTAATTTTGTGCCTAACCAGATGTCGTTGAAGTTCCTTACCGATATATGTAAGCGTGGCTCCAGTGTCCACCAGAGCTTCTATCTGCATGCCTGCGACAGTAACGGGCAGATAGTAGCGGCCACCTTGTTTCCCCTCTGGATACGGAATCGTTGCTATGAGTGCTGTTGTACTGGGTTTGGACGGAGTAGCTCGCACTGTTGCCCGTATAAGGCAATTGCAGTCTCGAGGCATAATTCCGTCGCGTCCACAGCGAGAGCAAAATACTCGCTGCCGGTTGCGACATTGGTGCCTTTGGTGTCCCAGCTGCTTACATCGCACACAAACTTTCTCGCGGCAATACTTGGTACTTACCGCCGTCAAACAGTGATTGGTGTTTTTTGCTTGCCTGGCCTCCTCGCTTCTTAACAATTCAAATTCCTCGGCTAACTCGAGTAGTTCGTCTACGCTGTGGAAGTCGCTTCGTCGGACGTATAGGCGATATTCCACCCTTAGGCCGTCATATATACGCTCGGTGTGATCTTCATCGCGAAGTTTCGGGTGTTGGCGAATAAGCGTTTGGATGGCCAACACATAATCCTTTGCTTTCTCTCTGGGTAGTTGCTTGCGCTGATGGATGGTTTCTTCCAGATGTGCGAGGTGTCGTTTCGGTAAGAAAAAACGTTCAGCCTCGTAACGAAAGTCAACTCACGTGGTTATGACATTGCGTTTTATACGAAACCATTGCAGCGCTTTATCTTGCAAAATTTCCGGCATAGTAGCAAGAAGCTCGTTATTTGCTATAGAGTAGCATTCGGCTAGTTCTTCGCATCGCTCCAGAAAGTCGTGTAAATTTTCGCGACCGCTGTAGCGTATGTTCCATCGCCGCACGGTGTTTATAACCTCCAAATCTGGCAATTTTGCAGCCGATGTGATGACATAACGTGTTGCTGTTGCGTTACTCGGAATTCTTGCCGTGGTGGTTGGAACAAGTATGGTGGCATTACCTTCATCTTGCATTTCCCTTTCCAACGCTTTCACTAGGTCCTCCGTGGATTTATTGTGGCGCTTTGCACGGATGCAGGCGCTCAGCTCGCTGCGGAGATCTGCTACGGTACGCCTTCGACAGCGATGTGGTGTCGTCTGCACTCGGTGACTAATCGTTCCTTCGTTAGCCAATAAATCCAACTGGTCGTGTCTGTCTCAAGCGCTAGGGCCTTATGCTCTTATGTACTGCAATGCTTAGGATTGTGTAGGGGGTGTGGCGAACCTGATTCATGAGCGTTGGTGACCGTTTCATGTTTTTCACTGTCACTCACAAAATCAAGTCCCTGCTCGGGCGCCATTTGTAATGGGGTTTCGTCCATAGCTGAGGTATGCTCAGCCGCTCCAGGGTCAGCCTTGGGACCCATGAACCCTTAGCAAATAAAATGTTCACTTTTGTGATGAAATCCACACCCCTTTATATGGACAGCCAGACCAGCTTATATGTATTATCGCGAGTCAGGTGGAGTATCGCTGGGATTTGGTGTATCAGGCGTTGGTTCTTGTCGAAGTCGTGTTGGTAATTACCGCAAGGTGGTGGTCCTTCGGCACTCTGGTGAGAAGCAGTCACTTTCAGACGCGGTGCTGACTGTATGGCACAGTGCAGTCTTTACGGGATCTCTGCAAAGGACGAATTACAGAATTAGCAATGTCAACCGGACACGTTACGGCTAGCAACTGTCTTTAGCACTATCTCTTTTCTCTGGTCTTACCTGCGAGTCGCCTGTTCATCGCGTTAGTCAGGTAACGGTGCACTATTTTGTGCAAGCAGGGGTACTGACGCTGTTCCAGGCAGCGCAGATATGGTGTCGGTGCACTAGTGTGCGGACTGCGATCGTGACGCTGTTCGAGGCAGCGCAGCTGTGATGTCCCTGTATCGCAGCGCAACGGAGACTACGGTCGCGCACTGCGAAGACATCGATTACGTGATACGGTGGAGG